TTATAAATTTTAGTTATTTTCATGAATAAAGGTAAAACTATAGTTTCTTAATTTCAATGCTCTAGGATTAAGTTCTGTTGCGTTTAGATTATTTAAGTTAGGCCTATTTCTTTGAGACCAAATTGGTTATTACTACCTTACTAGTAGTTCTTTTATCATAAATAGTTTGAGCTATTTTAGGTAGTCTAAAAATCATTAGAAATACCAATTATTAAGATTTCATTATGCTTTTGATTAATGAAATAATGATTCCTAGCTAAAAGCATAAATCCTCTCTCTTCACTTTGGTTCATGGTCTAAATCACATTTTCCCAATACTGTTCATAGCATAAAACCTCTGCCTCTAAACTATAATTTCCTTGTATGTAGCCAGAACCTTAATTATAAAATAAATTCTAACCTTTTTACTACCAAACAACTATAAATCTAAGAGAGCAAACATTTTTTCTGGATGTATTTAAATAGCAGCCCAACTATATCTTGTATGTGATCTAAAATTTAATCAATGAAAAATAATATTTGAGTTAAGTTAAAAGACATCACTTTTTCTCAGGCAAAGTTTACAACCCTTAGTAATCTTTACCTAAATATAATAATTCAATGATTAAAAACATATCAGACACCCTATGATAAGGGAGACAATGTGAATGAAAATAAAAACTAACCATGGCCAGCATCAATGAGATCAATTACTACTTTGAAGAAAGAAAACTCCAAAGTTTATTCAACTTCAGCAGTAGACAACCCAGTAGCCTATCCTGCAAAATTCCATATATATATATATTCATGCACAAAATTCACTAATTATATACACATAATAAACATATATAATGTCCTTACATATATATAAATAAATATGAATAGGCATACATACACAATTTTATGTATGCCTTCCATATAAAAGGAGAAAAAAACAGGAAAAAATGGGGAGGTGATGTCTGTTTGTCCATGTGTGCACATGCAAACTTGAGCTAAAAATGCTATATAGGCATCATAAATTTTCTTATAATTGTATCATTGGTTTCCTTCCTGTCTTTTTCTTACTTAATTTTTAAAATTTTGAGTTTATTCTAAACTATCACCCATGTCCTTCCTTTTCCACTTTTGTTAATTTCTTTACACCATTTTACTTTTTTACTACTCTTTTGAGCTACAAAATGCAAATACCAAGCAATGGAAAATAATATCAAATCTAAGTGCAATATAAATATCTCATGGTCTTCACATAATAACCACATAGCTAAAGGCTAAAAATTATTGAGGAATTCAGGTCAAATACCATAATCCTAACTTGACATAATTCAAAGCAACAAGATCACTTATACCAAATTAGAATAAACTAGAACTATTATTTGATGAGATTTCCAAAAGATTCATGCAGTATGAATTCATGACAAGATTTAAAATGCACCAATTTATTTTGTAAAACTTTTATTGATATTTTCATTTATCATTAAGAGTTAAAGTGTTGTGAATTTTATTTCATTAAATACAGTGAAATAAGAGAAACAGCTCTAAAAATATAAAAATTAAAGGAATAATAAGGAATCATAAAAGAGAAAATAAAAGAAAAATAAAATACTTTGACAAAAGTTGTCTTAATGATATAAGATCAAAAAGCTAATCTATACTAATAACAAAATCCAAGATTGAGTTTGAAGTAATGAGTCTAGCAATACCAACTTGGTGAATTGACAAAAAAACCTAATTATATTATGAAAAACATGTAGTAATAAGCCATATTAGTTATTTACTTTACCTAGAAAGTAGGCTCAAAGTTCATAACTAAAACCCATTTCCATGCCTACTTTTCTCTATTAGTTTTTTTACATGCATTTATTCTGACTTTTCTCTTTCACATATTAAGATAACTACAATTTCTTTTATATTTTGTATTTTTAATATTTATCTATTTCACCCACATAATGGATATGCATAAGATTGGTATTTCTTGTATATATTAACTAAAAAGCAAAATATGTCTACATTTAACTTGGATTGTAAGAGGACTCATCTTAAGCTTTAAGGAAGCATGAGTTTTTAGATATTACAAATTTTGATTATCTAAAGCATATAAACAACATGCACAACCTACCTAATGTTTTCAAGATATAAAATAAAGATTCTTCTCTTTCATGGCCAATAAGATGACCAAGATACCTGCATAGCCTTTTTTTTTTATAATAAAGAATGCTTGGAGTTATTGGCTATACAATCTGAATTTGTGGCCTTGTTTTATTGGAACAACTATGACAAGAATATGCGAATTGAAATTAAAAAAAAGCAAAAAAATTATCTCTTAGATTATGGAATGAGTATTGTGACAAAGATAACTCATTGACTATGCATAGGCACTATAACAGCACCACAACAACAAAAATAACATCTATTAGATTGTGGAGAGATAGCTTTATTGATTAATTATGGTTTAAAAAAAGAGGAAATCCATGTATTAAAGTAAACAAAGAAGGCAAGAACCAAAGAGATAACCAAAATCAACGATTTTAATTTCTCTCATGGTAGTATTAGCTGACATCAATGGATTGATAAAGAATTATGAAAACTTGAAAAGCAAGTGACAAGCGAACCTAAACTTGGCTGGCTCTCAAACATGGTTTTTTTTTTTTTTTTACTATTTCCACATATTTTAAGTAACCATAAGACTACATATAAGTATTAATAGATGACCATATTGCATTTAAGAAGATCAGTACTTGGAGTAACTATCTTTCAAGAGATATTTTTCATTATCATAAAATAGCATGTGCTTTGAAAGTAAGGACAACATGTTAAATAGAAAGAAATCAAGTACAATCATAACTATCCTATAAGCATATGATTATTATTCAATTGCTAGACCAAAGTTATTTCAACAATAAAATCAATGCAAAGCAAACAACAACAATACCAATAGTAATCACAAAATATTAAGGATGATCCTTCCATACGTTCTTTTGTCCATTCTCGTTTTTATAATCACACCATCTTCTCCTTTCGACCTCTATTTTTTAATTCTTTTATAAGGACAATAGCAATCCGATCTACTTTTGGTCTTTTAAAATTTGGTTATGAAGAGAGAAAGATAGATTAACCGAGTTTGTTTATAGGGAAAAAAAAAGGTTCAAGCGAAGCTGGGATGATTTCTAGTATTTGTAAAAGAAAAAAATCATAAGAATAAATAAATAAATTTATAATTATAAAATGTTCGTCCAAAAACTATTAGCTCACTCTTCTCTCTTTTTTTCTCAGTCTTTCTCTAAAAAATCTCCTAAATTCAAAAGAGTCTTTCCTGCCCTCCAATCATTTTTTTCATCTTAGTTTATGAGGTACTCTCTTTCTATTTATTTTAGGATCTTTTCTTAATCAGAGATCTCTAGTTTTTGTTTGGCTAGACCAAATTGATTCGCTTTTTATTCATTTTTGTTTTATAATTTTGGGATATTCTTTAAAAAATTCTTAGCTTTTTCTGGTGTTTGTGTTTGGTTATAAAATTCTTGATTTGATTCCTGATCATATCTAAATACATAGCAAAAAATAATAAATTTTTTAGTATTTTTTTTAAGGCATTTCTTGTTATGAAGATAAAAATAAGTTATTTTGCATGAAATTTCTTGCCTTGATTCGTAATTTGTAATATTTTAGGCTTTCTGAAAAGCTTTTTTAAGAGGAATTATTCATGAAGCTTTTTTCTTTATATTTTGATACTATTTTTATTTTTTTTTAATTTTATCTTGATTTCCTTTGATTAGGTTTTCTTATATTCTTTTTTCTTCGAGATTTGATTTTTTTTTAACTTTTCGTGCAATTATTGTCTAAAAAATGTTCAATTTTTTATATTTATAATCACTCACTAATCAATTTTAATGTTTGAACTTCTGATCTTCGCATGCGTATCTGCAGCTCAAAAGAAAAACCCGATCTTGGGTAAGTTATTTTTATACAAATTTCTAAATGGTATTGGAGCTTACATTGTCTTATTATGTTTGATAAAAAAAAAAAAAACTCTCATTGTCTTAAAATTATTATCTTTTATTAATTTTTATCAAATTAACTCAATTTTAATTATTATTTTTAATAAAATAATAAAATTTAAAAAGTTTTAAAATATGATTTATAAATTTTAAATTTTAAAATATATATTTTTAATTTTAATTTAATATTATATTCCAAAAAATAAGATCAAATTAGAATTACTTTAATAAAAAATAATAAAAAACAATTATGAGTTATTTTTTAATTCAGGATTGTGTTTTATTTGTTTGTGTGGCACTTATAGTTCCTAGGAACTTGTTTATTATTAAATTTTGATTTTTTTTACCTATTTAAAATCAAGATTAAATCTAATAGACAAAACTAACTATCTAAAATCGGAATTAAGAAACTTAAAAATACTCATTTTATTTGACAAAGGCAGATTTTATTTCACTAGCTTTCTAAATATACTAATTAATTTGAAATTATATATGCATCCAAATTACCATCTAATAAGCCTATAAATAGTACATGCTATGTATTTTTTTTTTTTTTAATTTGTAACCTTTGTTTTATAATTATATTAATTTTATGATTTTATTCTTATAAGAATATTTATTTTCTCTTTTGAGACACTACTACTAAATTTTTTAAAAATTTGGTCATTATCACGTAAACGGAGGTGAATGGAGGTATATAAATATTTTTTATATAATTTAATTCATCGTTCATTAATATAATTTTTAAAATTTTTATCTTTTGTTATATTTTTCAATATTATGAGCACAATTATAATAGCAAAACGATACTTATAAAAAAATTAATAAAGTATATCTATACTTGTTTTATGATTTAATTTAAATTTATTCAATTACTTAAAAAATTTTTACACGTTAAAATTTAAATAATGACTTTTTTTCTTTTAATTAATAAAAGTTTGCTACTTTTTTATTTCTGACAACCGTACACTGTTAATCCATAAATTTATTGTACGTTACATCTTTTAGAGGCAAACTGAAAAAACAATAGTGCCACAAATAAAATATTACAGAAATAGGAGGACTAAGAACTTAAATCTAATAAAATCATCAAGGACTCTTGTGGAAGAGTAACTCTCTCGAAAAATCCCCAATTGAAAAATATATAAAAATATTTGTATTTTAGTCGCAACTTTTCTCAGAAACTCCAAATTGGCTTCGCGATGCCCTCCATGGTTTGCCGAAGTCGGGTAAAAAAAATCTTTATTTTATTTTAATTTCATAGTCTTTATTTTTTTTTTTTGAATCCGCACCTTCATTTTTTCCCTCAGTCTATATTTTCCTAACTTAGTTTTTATTTTGTTTTATTTTATAGGAGCTGCTTATATTTGTATATTTATACATGTTAGGATTTTGTTGAAGTAATCTTACCTAGAGCTTCGAGCTGTAATGTAGCCTTAGAATTTCCATTTTACGTTTTATTTATTTATTGTAAATTTTGCTTATGAATTACTATGTGGGTTTTTAATTTTTTAAAAGAATTTCTGGGTAGTTTTGTTTGTTTCAGATTTCCTTTTTTCTATTATTTTAACGGATATTTGTAGCTGAATTATTGTTATGTAGTATCTGTTTCTATGTTCTACTTGCAAAGTAACAATGTCAATTTTGAGTTTTTGACTTAAAATCTTTTTCTTGGCTTTTGCTCTGCATCATTTCTTTGAAAAATAAAATGTTTTTTTAATGTTCAGTATATATGAATTGTACGTATGTGTGTTTATATTTTTATAGTTTTTCTGTTTAAGTTCTGGGTAGCTTTAGTTTGTTAGTTTCCCTTTTTGCTTATATTTTAATGGGTATTTGTAGGTTTAATCATTATTCATTGATTATTGATGGAAGCAATATTAAAGAAATATCAGCAGAAATTCAGAAAAGCAAAAGATGAAATGAGTAAATGGGACAAGCTTCAATCTCGCTTAATCTCTTAGTTTAGAAATGCTTCTTCCATCATTGCCAGATTAGAGGTATAATCCCGATCTTCAAAACTTCTCTTCATTTTTTTAATTTTAATCTCTTTAATAACAGATTTTTTTTTTGTGATCAGATTATTCAAAATTCGAAAAATTATGCGAGTTTAAATTCTGTGGGGGGCATGGAAATTGCAGTGTTGCAAAGCAGATGGATTCTTTGCAAACCATTTTTACTTTCCATGAAAAATACCATTAAGTGTTTATCTCTAATCAATTTAGTTTATGTTTAGTTGTGGCTTTTGCTATTTGCTTTTTGAAAACATAAATGATAGTTTTGATTAATTAAAATTTAAAGACAGAAAATTTTGTAAACGTGTGTCTTTATTTTTATATGTAAAACCTATGTTGCATATTAATCATTTACTACTTTTAATTATGTAAGTATGGTTTTGCGTTTTAACAACTTTGGGAATGTAAATGCCATAGAGAAAAATCAACAACCAAGCAAAGTCTTAACTGAAAACAATGCTAAAACCTTTGGTAAATTATTAACTAGAGATAGTTTTCTTGTTTTTTATGTATTTATGTTTTAACTTTAATTCTAAAACGATTTTCAAGGATGGTTTTTGCGCTGTTGTTCTTTCTCTGGAGAAGCTTCAACATGATGGTAAACAGCTTGCAAAAGGTAGTTCTTATCAGATGAACAGGAAGCAACTGCAACATAGAATTGGCATAAGACCATTTCTTACAAATTGCATAGATGGGCTTATGCTTCTCCATGAAATGCCCCTTGCTGAGTAAGGAACCGTTTCATCTTTCAAAAATTTTCTGAGCATGACTTTTTTATTGCTTGGTGTTTTATTTTTTTATGATATGTTACAAGTAAGAATTTGTGGAGTATTTATGTTTTGGTAAATTGTTCATGATTGCACTTTTGACCATATGAGATTTGAAGAACTTGCTTTGATTAACACTTGGTTAAAATCAATTAGTTTAGATTCTAAATGTGATTGATTGTCAGGTACCTTCTTAAATCATCATTGGTTTCAGCAGCTTTAGCACTTGCTTTGAAATCGAAGTAAGCAGAACTCATTATCATGCAATTCAAAAATGTCAATGAAACTCGCTTGGTCTTTTTTATCTTGCTAAGACTCCATAGGAATTCAACTGCAGCCTTGGTATGGTGTGATTAGGCACCTTTTTAGTGCAATCATACCATGCCAAAGCATTTGGGTGACAAGGGTGTAGCATGGTGGGAATGGCCCACTGTCCTGTACCTTCGATTAATGAGTAGAAAATGTTGCTCCGGCCACAACCCCTTTTCCCCTTTTGCCTCTTCTTGATTTTATTTTTTCAATCCCCTTTTTCCTTTTACCTCTTCTTGATTTCTTTTTTGATTTTTTTGTTATTTTTTCATATATTTTGTTTAAGGATTTCAATTATTTATATAGTTATTTAAAGTGATAAATAAATTTATATGATTGCATAGTAAACAACTAAATGAGTACATAAATACTTTTATATATATATATATATAGACATAATTAATTACATAAATAATTTTATATATAATTGATTATATATAAATAAATGGTTATAGCATTATAAATACATAAATTCAAATATAAAAAATATATAATTATATAAATAAATACATAAATAAGTTAATAAATAATTGAATAAATTATCATTAAATATATTATCTATTTTAATATAAAATAATGTGTCACTATTTTTGAGTGAATAAAATTTTTTATTTTAAAATGTTAAATAAAATTAAAATATTATAAAAATACAAACAAAAGATAATAAATAATAGAATACTACTTTGTTTAGTTTTAATATATTATTATCATTTTTTCAAAAAATATTTGACATATTACTACCATTTTATTAATTTTGAATTATTTATTAACAAAACTATTATTTGATAAAAATATTTTAGTAATTTTCAATTATTTATTAACTTTATAAATGTCAAATAATTAAAAATAACATTATATACAAACTTTAATCCAATGTCCTTAATGGTCATTTGCTCTTTTTACTACAATTCACCTAACTACTGTTGTAACTTTTGCATCCAAACATATATTGTGACACTAATTTTAATCTTTCTACTATTGGAACTAATTTCACCGCTAAAATACTAATTTGATTTTCAAAGTTTCCAATTTCATTGGGGCCAAAAGCATTTTTCGAAATGGGTCCTAAGATATAAAGTCATGTGAAACACAAAATCCTTTACCTAAATTGGCTCAAAGGATGTTTATATGGCTCTGAGTCCTACCTGAAGTTTTATTTTGATCATGTGCTGACTTTTTTCTTCTTAAAAAATCCATCCAAAAGAGATGCTTTTTGAAACTATGAATAGGCCTAATACTTTTGAATCCAAACTTCTTCTCAGCTTATCTTGTTGTTGTGCGTTAGCTTAAATAAGTATGATATGTAGAATTTGTGTTCATCTACACTTTATTTTATCTGATAAGCCTATTTCTTTAGCTTGCCTACTTTTTGATACGTAATGAATGGATAATACTCAAATAAGCCCTCGAACTTCACTTAAAATTGAAAATAAGCTCTTGATCTTTGTTTCATGGAATTAGGGTTATTAGTTTTTATTTTATTATAATAAAAACCTTGACGTGACGAAATATATTATATTTTGATAAAACCTTCTTGGGTGACTGGTGTAATCTATAAAAAATACTCGTATAAATTTACTTGGATGAACTAGATGACAAATACTTGAGAGAATACTATTTTAATAATGTTGGCAATTAGAATTTATTCACCCATCTTTTGATTTAATGAGTATGATTACAATGAAAAAAAAATTCATGATCTTAATTTCATTTAATAAAACATTCAAAGCTTATTTCTATTTCTTTTTTAAAGTTCAAGGGCTTATTTCAATATTATCTATTAATTGTGCTTATTCACCCTTTTTCCATATGAACATATGAATTCTTGTTCACATTCTTCCTACTTTGTTAAAATAAGTTTATTTAACTTACTAAAAGAAAGGGATTGCTTTTACTGCATTCTATTTATTAGAATTAAGGTTTTAGAGAACAACTTGCTAATATTTTGGATTAGCTTTTCATTATATAGACAATGCTAAGGAAAGAGAATCAATTATAAATTACAAATTAATCTCCCAATTAATCCATCCTAAACTGTCTCCTATGGAATATTCTCATAATATTTCAACTTACACATAAACATACATTAATATTCCTTAAGTCGGAGCATATATATCAGTCATGCTCAGCTAATTACATATATAGTCAACTCAAACACCTGGAAGTGATTTCTTAATAATACTGGCTAGTTGTTCCCCATGCACACATGCTTTAATAATATTGTTCTACTTTATAACTTTTCTAATGAAATGATAGTCAATTTCTATATGCTTGGTTCTTTCATGAAATACTGGATTGGAAGCAATATAAATTGCCGTCTAATTATCACACCATAACTTTTTAGGGGTCCAAACTGAAAGCTCAATTTCATCTAAAAATTGAACCTTTTATAATACCTTTGTTGTAGCCAAAGCCATGGCTCTATACTCTGTTTCTGCACTAAACCTAGCAACTACTTGCTACTTTTTGCTCTTTCAAGACACCAGATTTTCCAAGGAAGATAGTATAACCAGATGTAGACTTCTTATCTATAAGAGAGCTTGCCTAATCTGCATCTGCATAGGCTTGATACCCTCATCACTAGTAGAACTGTAGAATATTCCATTTTCAAGATTTCTCAACAAATATCTAAGGATGTGCATCATTGCTCTCTAGTGAGTATCTTTGGGAGCTACCATGAATTGACTTACCACACTAACTGAAAAAGATATATCAGGTCTTATCATGGTCAAGTAATTCAATTTTCCCACTAGTTTTCTATAAGGTGTTAGATCATCAAAGAAAAGTGCCATCTTCTGGAGAAAGCTTGATACTTAGATCTATCAATGTGTCACTTGGCTTGGCATGGAACAAGCTTGCATCTCTCAAAATATCCAACACATAATTCTTTTGAAAGACAAAGATTCCCTTTTTACATTTTTCACTTCAATAACTAAAAAATATTTTAATTAACTAAGATCCTTGGTCTCAAATTAGGGCTTAAGATACATCTTAAATTTGTTAATCCCTTCACTATCACTACTAGTGATGATATCATCTACACTCATAAGAATATAAGGCTAAAACTTGGCTGCATGTAAAATACTAAACGATCTTTCTTACTTTGTTGCATGCCTTACTAAACAAGAGCTACACTAAATTTGTTGACCCATACGCATGGAGTTTGCTTCAGACCATACAAAGACCTATGTAAATAGCACACCTTCCTAGACTCCCCTTATGGTTGCTCCATATATACCTCCTCAGTCAAGTCACCGTGTAGGAAAGCATTTTTTACATCCAATTGATGTAATGCCATTTATGTGTAGCAGTAAAATTAAGAAATAAACGAATAGATGTCATTTTTGCCACAGATGAAAAAGTATCAAAATAATCTACTCTTGTTTGTGCATATCTTTTGGCTATTAGTCTTGCCTTCAATCTAGTCAATGACCATCAAGATTCAATTTTATGTTGTAAACCCACTTGCACTCAATAGCTTATTTCCCTTTTGGTAAGGAAACCAAGTCCCATGTATGGTTGGCCTTTAAGGCCATCATTTCATCTTTCATAGCTTTATGCCATCCTGAATCTGCAAAAGCATCATGAAGAGTACAAGGCGCAGTAATAACATCAATTGTGACAATACAAGTTTGAAGTTGAATAGAAAGTCTTTTGTATGTGGGTGTGTATAAAGAAAATTTTTTCCAAGTTTGCGTACATTTTTGTAAAGCAATCAGTATATTTTTAGCCATAGTGTCTTAAGGTGAATCCATCAATAAAGAGATTGTTTCAATAAGGGAAGTTTTCGTAGACGGATCAACACAGGTCCTTCTATTATACGTATGACTAAATTGAGTATCTGGATATGCCTCAGAAAAGATGCATTGACTGGTGTACTATGTATCTAATAGATGAGAAAATCTTTTTCTTTTGATATGATAGGTGATGGATGAGACTGTAGTACCGAAGGAAAAGGAACCGACTCATGAAACATGACATCTGTTGAAATAATAAAACAACTCAAGTTTAAAGAGTAGCATCGATACCCTTTTTGGACATGAGAATAACCTAGAAGATACATTTAAGAATGTGGGTCTAATTTAGTGCGACCTTGAGGAGTGTCACAAATAAAACATGTACACCAAAACACCTTGAGGGAGATTGAAAATAAGAGATGATCAAGACACAATACTTGAAGAGAAACTTTTCCTTCAAGAACCGAAGATGGTAAATGATTTATAAGATAGCATGCTGTGAGAAGACAGCTTCACTCTAGAACACTTTAACAACCTTCATTTAAAATAAAAAAGCTCTAGCCACGAACAAATGGCGATTCTTTCTTTCAGTACTCCCATTTTACTGTGGAGTCTTTGTACACAAGGATTGATGAACAATACCTTTTTCATTTAGGAATTGAACAAACTCTGTAGAAAAATACTTTCCTCCATTATCATTCTGTAAAATTTTGATAGAGTTACCAAATTGATTCTCTATTTTTGCATGAAAGGGAGTGAAGACAGAGAATAATTTGGAGCTGCTTTGCCATAAATACAACCAACAAACTCGTGAATAATCATCAACAAATGCCACAAAGTATCTATAACTAGATTTTGAAATAATAAGACAAGGCCCCATACATTAGAATGAATCATAGCAAAGGGAAACTTTTCTCTTTTATTAAATCGAGGTTGATAGAATGCTCTGTGTAGTTTAGCGAACTTGCACGATTCACAATCAAAACTAAAAGATGATAAATGAGGACACATAGCTCGTAAAGTTGACATAGATGGATGACCAAAACCACAATGAGATTCATAAGCCAATGACAATTCTCTTAAGTATGTCATTAATCCAGATTGTATCTTCTATATGTCATCAAGCACATAAAGACTACCTCGATCCTTCCTTACTAATAATTTGCTTTTTCAATAGATCTTAAAAAACACAATAAGTAGGAAAAAAAGAAACATTAAATTTAAATTCCTTGTTATCTAACTGAAAGTAAGTTAAGGAGAAAAACAGACATGTAGTACATAATGTAAATGTAACATGGATATAGGTCGAGCCTTGCTACTTCCTATAATATCTATAGAGTTTCCATCAGCAACCAAAACATAATGTTTTTCAGTCATAGGAGTATATGAATAAAGAGTACCTATAGTACTCGTAATGTGATTCGAAGCTCCTAAATCAATCACCCAAGTCCTGGAGGGGTTAGCTAGGCATATAGTAGATTTACCTTGTATAAAAGTTACTGTCAAAAAAGAGATCAAAGTCTGATTTTGAAGCATCTGAATAAGTCTGTCATACTCATTTTAGGATAACTGAATTCCTTTCTCCTCTTGTTGCTGGAGCTGAAGCACAGCATCAGTCACATGTCGCTAGTGGGTCAGAATTGCCCTAAGACTATGGACATTCTGTAAATGTCCCTGCTATCCATAATGATAGTAGAACCATGGGTTTTCTTTACCACTTCCACATCCTCTACCTCATCTATCATGTCTTTTGCATGGTGCTCACTCTTCATGCTGTGGGGCCATAAATACTGCCCTATTTTCTTGTGGAGAATCATGCTAAGTGACCCTACTCAAGCACTTATAAGTATCCAATAAAGAAAGTAGATCTCTACTAACATTTGAGTACTCGCACTAGCATACTCATTCTTAATCCTACTAAGAAAAACATTACAGTTAGAGCCTTTCGTTGCTCTTGGTTTGTCTTCAGATCGGTAGACAAGTGCATGAGTTCATTAAACTCGTCATATACCTCATTAAACGTAGCAAAATATTCCTTCAGGTTTTTATCGAACTGCTCCATTCTAGTGAATGCCCTGGTAACATCTAAGATCTTTTACCAATTATCAGAATTTGCATAAACAATTTTTAAAGCATCTTAAAGTTCCTTACTTTTAAAGTATTGATTGAACATCACCTTGACTTGTCATTCCATTGAGTTAAATAATTGTCTAAGTACTTGATTGTCACAAGGTCACCAACACAATCTTGCTCCATGATAAGTAGTTGGAGCCATCAAGTTTCTCATTCAACAACTGTGAGCTCATGATAAACTTATGAGTTATCACTTTCGATGCGGTTACCTCTTCTTTTACCATGGTCACAAAACCTTTTTCCTCTAAAACAAACTAGTAATCCTTCAATTAGGTAACACAACCCCAATCAACAACCAGGAACACCGTCTTTGGTTTTGTAGCCACGTTTTATACCAAGAAGAACTTGTCTCCCTTAATCGATCATTCATGAAGAGGTTGCAATCTCTTTTTCTTGCCACTTTTGAGAATAAAATGACGGCTCCCTTTCAACTAATGAGGGGTTGCTGAAGAGGAAGAAAAAGTTTTAAGTACGCAGCTTTAAAGTTGCGGATCAAAGTCTGTAGTAGCGACGGGTTAAGTGATGACTCAAGGGTTATTGCAGAGGCTTTTAGGGAAAGAGATAGAAAGGGAGCAACAGCGACTAGGGTTGCACTGCTGGCTTTGATACCATGCTTGAATTAAGGCTTTAGATAACCACTTGCTAATCTTTTAGATTAGCCTTTCATTATATAAACAATACTAAGAAAAGAGAATCAATTACAAATTACTAGTAATGCTTCCAATGAATCCCTCTTGCACTGTCTCTCATGAAATATTCCCATAATATTCTAACTCACACACAAGCATATACTAACATTATTATCCATGGCTTTGTAATCATGTGTTTTCTTGATGTTGCAGTTCCAGTGATCTTGGTGTAATTCAGCAACTTTTGGTTGATCAACCCAATATGCTAAACAATGAAGGTACATTTTGGACAAAGTTAGCTAGATTTATTTTGCATGTATTTAGCTGTAGTTACCTTGTTGATCAACCCAATATACTAAACGAGGAGGGTACATTCAAGAAAAAGTAAGCATTTCCTTAATTCCATCCCAATTGTGTACACTTTACAAAGATCAGTAAACAACAAAGAATATTGGATGGCTCAACAAGAATTAAATCAAAGTATATTTTCTTGCAAAGAATATGCTACTAATTTAGAAATGATGGTAGGAATCACTTCTTCTATTTGGCATGCCCTCATAGAATTCCAAATCTCCTTTGCATTGGTAAGCAGAGCTAGATTACCTTGATCTTAATGAAGCCACTTCTCATTAATAACAGCCATTAATCCTTTCTATAGATATTGAAGATAATGGATATTAATATATACATTCGTGTTATTGAATTGAAAAATTTTTTTGTTTAGCCTTATTTGGAAGTATTTACAGAATGGTGTTAAAGTAGCTTCAAATTACCAAATTATATTTGCAACAAATGTGATTATTAACTTTATAATAGAAGTTTGACCTATTTTTTTTTTTTTTGAATTCTTTTGCATCATGGTGATATTAATTATTTAGAATTTGTATGTTAGGAGTCATAACTTGTTATTTATGTATTTATCTATCTTTTTCCTATTGTTTCCTAAAAATACAATGGTTTACAAAAGTATTATTATTACTATTTTTTTTTGGTAGTTTAATCATATTGTATTTCTGCATATTAGGTTCTAACTTATGCTTATTGTAAACTCCCTTTGCAGTCCAATGCATCTTTGACATCATATTTATGAAAAAGATATGTTGATTTGATGTATATCTGTTAGACAACTTTTTATTCCCTGATTTCATTGTAAATAGTGCAAAGACTAAAACCTCTTGGTTTTGTTAAATTCACTAGCAACATGCTTGTACCTTGCTTTTAAAATTATTAGATTGTGAAGCCATGAACACCTAGCATTCTATTTTTTTTCATGTGTGGCATGCTAACTGGAAGCTTTGCTTTGATAAAGACGTTAATTGTGATCCCTGTTATTTGATAATGGATCACCCTGACTAGTTATTTTACACTCTAAACATGTTTAATTCATTAGTTCAAGCAATATCTTCATTTCTGATTGCATATAACTTGCAAAATAGTAACTCTTACTAAAGATTTGCTTCTAAATTTCACCATTTTCTTATGGAGCTATGTATTTGTGTTTGAAGCTCGAGTTTTGTTATATTTTGCTAATCTTATTTGGCATAACCTTGTTTCACTCTATCTTTCCTTTAATTGTTTTTTTTTTAGAGCTTTTAGACTTAATTTTATCATTTTTTTCTCTGTTCCTTTGACTATAGTTTGGTTTAAGCCTATGCTATACAAAGATCTCTCCTTACTTGATACATGATCAAGGGTAAGATCAAGGGTACTCTCCTTTACCTAATAGAGTAGAAAAATGGGAAAGGAAAATAAATAGTATTGAATTAACTTTATGTCAAGTTATGGACCCGTTGTAATCATGTCAAATCCTATTTACTTTATTTTTCCTCCTATATAAGTTGTAAACTACTTATTTAGAAGCATATAGATAGATCTTAAGTATAAATAAAACTCTAAGTATAAGTAAAACTCTTTCTAAAAAATCCTTTGAAATATAAGTATGTTTTTCTAAACTTCTTTCCCTTTGGCGATTTCTTTTTCTTCCCTAATATTTAGTCTTTAGTTCAGTGTTCTTCTATATCATGATTTGCATTGATACAAATTAATATGCTCTGTAGTTATCACAGTATTGTAGATTTTTTGCATCAAAATTTCTTTTCATCTGAGGAAATCTTTAAGGTTGGAATAGGTTTTGACTTTAGCTTGAGTAGCTTTACTAATTGTGTCTGCTCTTGGGACCAATAGGGACGTTCTTACTTCAACATCTGTCTTAGATAATGGGTAATTTGAGCAAGATCTGAAAGAAATTCACCCATTTAATTAACTATGTTAAGGAATTGTTACATTTGTCTCTTTGAAATATTTTAATTAGGGAAAATCTTTAAGTGTCTTAGCAATGTAAGATTAAGCAATGTGTTGGCAATCTTTTAAATACATGCCAAGGAAATCTATCTTTGTACCACCAATTATCATCTTTTTTTCTGACAGCATTATTTAATATTGTTGTACAGTCATCTAGAGCTTATTAAATAACTATGTATAAGTTGTCAAATTTAGAGAAAAGAGAATAATATCATGAGCTAGAATGGAGGCTTTGAAGAAGCATAAGCGGTACTTTCAAAAGTGTGCTCAGGGGTGAGAGTTGTAATAGTGCTTGTGGTTATTTTGGATTTTGGGGTTGAAAAAGTGGTTATTCTCCATTTCTTTTAGGTTTTTCCTTAATTGGTTGTTTTTCTCTGAATCTATAATCCATTTTTCAGTTGTACCAAAAAAAGGTTTGTTTAAAGGAAGAGTTTAAATGGTTGTTGTGATAATGGTGTGAAGAATGGTTTTGGTTGAGAATATGACGTATTGATGTAGTTGGGGGTTTGTATTGGAATTGTGTGAAAAAAAATTTTAGAGGTAAAGGTGGGTTGTATGGTTGATAAGGTTGAGAAGGGGGAGTATAGGTTTGGTGAGTATCATTTAGTCTAATATTAAGAGTAAAGATACTATAATTGAAGGTTGGCAGTTGTTGGTTGCTTCTGCAAAGTTAATTTTGAAGATCTACAAATTGGATCTTGAAACTTTTCATTTTTTTTCTTTCTGCAAAAGTATAAGTGTAACTAGTATTGGTTTCCACTATGTGTCTAAGTTTTTTATTTACAGCTATCATTCTTGTCTAAATATCAAGAATAATTTTTTGAAAATTGACGAGGTTCTAGTTAAAGTGTTGGCTCACTTTATCTAGCTTGTTTTTTTATCTTATATGCAAAAATGCATTTTGTTGAATAGATTTCTCTGTCTGTCAGTTCAAAACTCTTCTACGCGAGAAATACTTTTTTGGTTTTCATATTCATCTTTGTTAGTGGGGTTTGGGATCTTTGAGGTGTGTTTGTATTGATTTTTGTAGAATTCTTGGAGATGAGGAAATTCTGAATCATAAGAGGATTGAATTGGTTGCATTATACAAATATGTTGAATAGGAACATCTGGAACAGTTCCTTTTTGTTTGCAGCTATTTTGAAACTTAGCCATTTTTGCATCTTCTTTTAGAAGATAAGCAAGACCAGCAGTATAACAGGGTAAGGTTCTTTTAAGTTTGGTTTTCTTAAGTGTTTGGTTTAAACAAATTTTCGAAGAGAAGTTTGGTTTCTTGTGTTTAGGATAAATGACATAATAGCAAACTTTCCTAAGAGTTCACCAAGGAGATTTACCTCGGGATCTCCGTTTTCATATCTTTTTTTAGCTTCTATTGTGAAGTTTTTCTTTTTAGCTTTTTTTAGGAATCATCATCATCAAAGAAGCTTTGTGTATCTGCTTTTTTGGTATCCTTTTGCAACTTCAATCAATATCCAATAACAATGTCCATTTGAAGACTTGTATGCATACACAAGTTTTTCATCAGGTTTGAAGTGTGTAACTGACACATTTGGTTTTGCATGACATGGTCGCATCATAAATTGTGTGAAAAAAAAAAAAGTTGGAATGAGAATCTTTTTTACTTTTTGTGATCAAACTCAATTGTCATTATATCATCTGGTTTTGTGGTGTAAGAGGGATTAAAGTGTTGGATCGGTCCATCTTGTTTTCAAACTTTTTGATAACTTATTGTCCATAACTTAGGAAGTAGGGTAGCAAGTTTTTCATTTGAGATTTACTTTGGAATATGAATACATCTGAGATACTTGTCTGCAACTTTTAATTTAACAAACAATGCATCACCAGAGTTAGGCATAAGTAGGTTTATGGCATGATCTTGAATTTTGTAAACCATCTGGTAATGAAAGATTGCTTGGAATCTTTTCATTTCGATTCTTATAATTTGCACTTGAACTTTTAGCACATCTAGCAAAGTTGAATCATGTAAAGATATGTAGTTGGGAATACTGTGAAAAAGACAATTCCCGCATTTGGAGTCATTTCAACTATGGCAATTATTGCATGTTGGAAATCTCTAAATCTTTTGTGCAGTAAAGCTATCTTGGTACACGCAAGAATACTATTTCTACCATATAAACTTAATGCTATTCTAATAGTGCTAAAGTTAATATGAGTATATTCTTGATCTAGTCATTGTTGTGGAAATTTTATAGGAATCTAGAGAGTAAGAAAATGTTCTTGAGATCTAGTTAGTAGAACACATTGATCAAATTTTGAAGTTTGTACATATTCTTTTGAGGCTTGATATTTTGGTTTTAAAATGGTGTTTATAAATCTGACTATAGAAGGAAAAGTTTTAGAGAAAGCATTATAGGGATTTATAAAGGGAAGTTTTGACTTTGGGATTTTTTTGTTTTATGGAATATAGTTAATCTTATAAAATGAATCTAATTTTGACAAATCCATAAAATAAGAGATCTTCGACTATCTTATTCCACCCAATCTTTGTAATCATCTAGTATTACTCTTTTATATGCATCATGAGCGCACTGATACCAATGAACAGTTGTTTATCTTTTGTAGCTCTAATACCAAGAAATCACAGATCGATTACTTGCATCAAGAAGATATCAAAACTAAGCAATCCATAATTAGGGCATAAACCAAAGTATTTTAGCTAGTGTTCAAGAGTAAACGTTCTTTTGGCATAAATGTTGAGCAAAGTAGTCTAACTTTTATGAAATTATGCCTTTCATTATAGTAGCTTATTTCAATATTCCTTGGAACAGCAACTTAGCATTATTAAGTGGATCAATGGTCCGACAATTGCAAAATATACTAACTTGTATCATTGCAAAATATGATATAGAAGAAGAACACTAAACTAAAGACTAAATATTAGGGAAAAAGAAGGAATTGTCCAAGGCGGATAAGTTTAGAAAAATATACTTATATTTTAGAGAATTTCTTGAAAGGA